TCTTTTCGTCTAAACACGAAGGTTTGTGTTTTCCCATGAGAAGTTGGACGCTTTTAGCGATGAGCAGATATTACTTAGAGGTGTGTCGGGTTTACGCCCATAGTGTGCCTCAAATGGCGTAATTTTGGTTATTGCGTATAGTTTTATTCGCAATGTCTTGAATAATTATGTCATATCCGACGCGAGTTTGTACGGTTGGTTATTTGTATCAATTTTCATGACTGACAGTCTAGTTTTTAGAGTTCTAATTGAGCGGTGGTCGTCAAACGAAACGAAGACTAGTTTTATGTTATTACTTTTGCAGTATATCATGAGTTTTTTGGCCCTAAACCCTTGGGCTTGATCGCACCGAAAATTTCGTGGTAGCCATCTGGTCTTTCTTATTCGAGAGCTGCCGCGATACGGTCACGGCTCGCGTCACACCTTATCCCAGTCTTGCAATAACTTACGAAGTGTCAATTTTTGGTGATTGTTTGAAAGCTAGTTCGTGTATTTTTTCCCATATGAAATTTTTTTATTTGTTTATAACAATGGTTTTAGAAGCGTGCGAAATTGGACGAGGTTCGGTATAAAATTTTTAAGGTGGTGAATAGGTCCCACAATTAATTTAAGCTATTTACAAGTTTTAGGGTGTTAAAGTTTAGTAATTGCCTCGGTTTTCTTATGCATTGGTATTGTGCCGAATTCATTTATGACAAAACCCGAACCACACTACTTTTTTCCATCCCAAATCACACTTATCGATAAAAATGGCCATGTTTTCTTACTCTAACCTATCCAAAACCCTTTTAATCTTCTCCATGTGGTGGTCTGTTGTTCTGTGGGATATAATCAAGATATCATCCAGAAAAGCAAATGTGTCCTTTGGGTTATTTATTGTTCGGTCGATGGCTTTCTGAAGTTCTGCGGGCATATCTGTAAGCCCGTAGAATACAGTCTGGAACTGATATGTTCCAGTCGCTTGGCCTCCTATTATGCTTAAAATACACTGAGTTCTTGTTGTATCGTCTAGTTTTAGTTGGCTGTATGCATAGCGGAGGTCAATAGTCGAGAAGAATGTGGTGCCGGGTTTTTTATTATCTTCTTGTGCTGTTTGGTTTATAAATATTGGGCCGTCAAATTGTTTATCACTGCAGCTTTCGAGTTTTACAATGCGACCTTGGTTAATTAGGGATCTTATTTCTTGTTCGACCTTTTCTTGGTTGTGGATCGAGATCGTCCGTCCTTTTTGTTGAAGCTCTTTAAAATCGCTAAGAAACTGTGTGTGAACCATATGGTTTTTTTTAAAATCCCTATACGTGTGCAAAGTCCTGGATCTGATGATTTTTTCCAGCTGGTTATCACTGCATCTGACTGTTTGTTATCTGATACAAAATTCATTGACTTATCAGTTGCCTTTTCCTGATATAGGTGGATGCCGATGAGGGATAGAAGATTTCGTCCCAGGATGTTCGCCCTTTTGTCGTCTTCTACAATGAAGGAAGCGGTATTGACAGTCCACTTTCATTTCAGATTCATTTCAAGTAAATATCCTTCCGAATGATGGCATCTTGTAACAGTTGTAGGACACCATTCTGTTTCCCTCGTCGTTTTGCCTTAGTTGAATTCGTTTTGCGTGTTTCACCGAGCTTTGTACTGTGGCGGCTGTTTTGCTGTTGACGAACAAAGTGGGTGATCCTGCATCGGCGATAAAAACAAGGTTGTTGCTGCCTGCTCTGACTCTAATGAGGGGAACTTCTAGGTCGTCCGCCGTTAAGTGGTCTGCCTGTCGATCTTGGAAGTTTACAGCATTAATGGTTGTGCCATCTGGGTGGAGGAGGTCCCATCATGGGATAACGCCCCTGCCTGTAGATAGTCCATGTAGGCTGCCATGTTGGCGTCTTGCCTTGATTGTTCCGGATCTTGCTCATCTTGAATAACATTGACCTCGGAGGATTTGCAAGGCCTGGCATAGTCCGCGTTTGGTGCATCTGGTGCAAATATTGTCCTGTGCTGGGCACTGTTGGAGGTGGCCAGGTCCGAATTGGTTCCCGCATTTGAAGCAGGATTGTTTGTGGTCGGTTCCCTGACGCTGATAATTAACTCTCTGTGGTTGCGGGCGGCCTCTGTTGCCCCGTTGATTTTTTCGGTTTTCAATTCCTTTTCTTTTTATGAATCCAACTGGTTCGGCTTTTATCCCCGCTTGAGACTACAATGGAATTGTTCAAGTGTCTCTGTTTTGGTTTGTTTTCTTGTGAATGCCTCATATCTGTCAAAAGTTGCACTGCGGTCCTTGATGAACAGATGTTGCAGTTAAATGTTTTACTTTTGATTAGTTCTAATGGATATCCGCTATATATTTAAGGATAACATAAGGGATAAAGCTTTAAATATGTCAAGTTATTTCATAGACCGAATCAGTTTTGCATTAAGTTCAAGAGTTTTTTAGAACGCTATTCTAGCTACGAAATATTTAAACGTTTCAAAATCATATCATGGAGTAAGTTTATTTCTGTTAGCTTTTCAAGCAAGCTATTCCCTGGATAAAACTCTTACGAGTATTTCATAAATCAAATCGGATGCCAAAAAATTCAGTTTTTTCAAGCAAACTTTTACTTAAGAAACTTTGAAAGTTTCCATGTAATTTCATGTAGCAAATCTAATGGCAAAAAGTTTAATTGTTTATATTGTAGCCATTCAAGCGTTGATACTTTGAAATATTTCAAGTTATTTCAGGGCTAATCAGATGACAAAAAATCAAGTCTATTTAAGCGAGCTATTAGTTATGAAACTTTGAAATGTGTCAAGTTGTTTTATGTAGCAAATTGGATGTCAAAAATTGTATGATTTTTATTGAAAACATTCGAGCGATGAAACTCCGTATATTTGTTGACCAAATCTGAGGACAATAATTTCAATTTTCTCCAAGCAAGCTAATCCGGCTAATAAACTTTCAGTCAGGAACTTTTCGTCTTTTTTTTTTCTATCATTGTTTTTCATGTTTGCAATAAAGCTAAAATTCTTTAAGCAAGCTGTTCAAACGATAAACTTTAAAATATTAAAAGACCGAATCGGTTCACGGATCGAATCGGTCTTTGTTAGCGAATTGGTTTGCGAATCAGTTCGTTGTTTCAAAGACCGAATCGGTTCACGAAAATTTTTAGCTATTCCGAGCAATCTGTTGAAGTTAAGACAGTTTAAAATAGTTCTTGTTTTTTATAGACCGAGTCGGACATACTCAAGTTATTTTGTAGATCAAATCGATTTGCTAGAAATTTGTTTTTGTTTTTAGAAGAAAGCTCTCCAAGTTTTGAAACTTCAAAAAATTCAAGTTATCTTGAAAAAGACCGAATTGGTTTGCGAAGTTTTTCGAGGCAAGCTATCCAAGCTATGAAACTTTGAAACCTTTCAAACTTTTTCATAGACCTAGCCGGTTTGCAAAAATTTTAAAAATTTGAAAGCAAGCAATTCAAGCTCAAACAAATGTTATAGACCGCCAAGTTGTCTAAAAAATATGTCAAATTGTTTCATACAGCAGTTCGACTGGTGAGAAACTTCAATTTTCCTAAGCAAGCTATTAAGGCAATGAAGCCTTGAATTATTTCACGTTTTCCCAATTCATAACTCTTCGAGAATTTTTTCAACTTATTTCATTGACCAAATCGTTTTGCAAAAAGCTGAAGGTTTTCTAAGCAAGCTATTGAGGCTCTAAAACGTTGAAAATTTTCAAGTTTTTTCAAATGTAAATCGGTTTGCAAAAAAATTTGTATAGAAAAAGTTTGCAAAAAAATGGCTTAAAAAATTTAGTTTTTCGCAAAACGATTCGGTATATGAAATATCTTGAAATATTATAAAGTTTTTCTGAGATAAAACTTTCAATTATGTCAAGTTGTTTCATAGTGAAAATTGACTGGCGAGAAGTTTCAGTTTTTCAAAGCAAGCTATTGGGGCAAAGAAACTTTGAATTGTTTCAAGTTTTGACAGAGCAAGTCGATTGGTGAAAAGTGTGTATTTTTTGAAGCAAACTCTGCAAGCAATGAAACATTGAAATCTTTCAAGATATTCCACAGCGCAAATCGGCATTGCGCAAATCGGTATAATTAGTTAGTTCGTTTCAGAAGGCAATCAATCTAAAAAATGCTAAATTTCGGGAAAAAATGGACAAATACTGTCTACCTGGAAAATGATATGAGTTCGTCTTGTCTGAAGAATTGATTTTTTTTTAGAAAAATTCTTGAATATTCCAGACTAAGAAAATTTGAAAGTTTTAGAATATTCTTGGCCTTATCTTAAACGTTAAGCTTGAAGAATTTTGTAAACATTGCATTCGACAAAGCTAAAACATTCTTTTCAGTTAAGCCTTGCGTCCATAGCACATTCTGACTTTCTTTTGATATATAAGATATATGATACTGGTGTGTTGATTTCAATTTTTAATTCATTAGCTTGACAAAAACTGTTCGCCGGAGTTTAAAATTTTAAAGCAGGTCACAGCCACTGAAAATAGTCTCAAACCATTATTGCTCTCAGACTAGAATCAACCATTTGTTAAGTACAACTTCAATACTAACTCGAGCATGGTTAACAAAAAAGAGAAAAACAAGTTAATTGAAGCTAATTTGAGGCAAATCAATGAGACCATTGCACTGTGACTGCTTTTCAAATTCAATCAAGAATTATAAAATATCATGATAAGATAGCATATTGAATGAAGTACAAATATCAATTATTAGTTTGACTAACTTTTCAATGCAAATATAAATCATAAAAGAAAAGAAATAAAAACACAGAAAAGTGCATCAAAAAGTTAATTCAAACTCTGGCTGAGCCGCAAAAGTATCTGAAAGCGTTATTATAAGTTATGGCCAATCATTAGTTACAATCATCAATTGAAAAACATGCCAAAACTGGTGTTGTAAAAATGACTGAAGTTCATTCATTCAAACCATCAGCTTACAATTTATTATTTGCATATTATTTTTAATTGTGGTTATAGTTATCATTAGAAAACATCCATACTTTTTTGTACCACTGATGGTTGGTTTGAGGTAAAACATAGAATAAAGAATGCTTTTAGATAGATATCTATATTGTGGTTTTCAATTGCCTGTGTTTTTCTCATCTACTGTTTTAACTTCATATTTATGTTGTCAATTTTCTAATATTGGCGTGATGTTTTACAACTAATTCAGCGATCAAAAGAGCAAAATTTACTCCGATCTTTTCAGTTTTTGTTCAATTTTATGGTATGACTCTAAGTCAAGTTTAAGCACGAAACCCGCCGTAAACGTAAGTATTCATATAATTTTTCATATTAAATTGAAGCGATTTCTGCTACATAGTATTTTAATAGACTTAGTTAGACACAAACTGATCTGATAATAATTAAGTTGGTCGTAATTATTCAAAAAGTTCAACTAATTTCGAGAATAAGAGCAAAGAACTGCGATTGTTTTCAACAATAATTAATTGTGGTTCCCGCGAAAATGGAAGCTTTTGATTTAGTTGAAAGCCCTGAAACACCGCAAGAGCCATTTGAATCACTGAACACTCGTTGTCATGTCATTTCTGACATAGATAGTATCAAAGAGCTACCTAACGAATATTTAGGACTGGAGCCAATTTTGGAATCCGGATATAATTTGGAATCAGCGCAGTTATCTGGAGAGCTCCAACTAATCGGTCACACCGAGGAATTCAAGGAGTCCCGAACAGTCCAGGAGCTAGTGAGATCCGAGGGTCTCCAAAGAACCCAAGAATCCAACATCAAAGCTCCATATTTGAACGGCAATCATTTGCCCAATACCCAACCCGCCGATAATTCAATCACGGACACCCCAATAAGCAACGGGTATCTAAAAGAAGAACTCAACACTTCAAACCCAAAACTGACGTCAATAACTGAAAGCAAAACTATGGAAAATTCCAAGTCAGCAGTGAAAGCGCAACATCCATATATGAACGGGGGTGTGAACGGATCAACCGGATCAGACCCTGTCGATTACCACAATGCGTCAAATGGCCGAAAGATAGATCTCAATGGCAGCAGTAACGGGTATAAGGTAGACCTAAACATAGCTGACAGACCAAAAGGAAACACGGTAGATGCGCATCAGTGGGATATTGATCAGAGGAAAGTGATAGATTACAAAGTTAGACAACTTGTCTAACAATAACAAGAAATTCGAAGTAGGCATCGCTTTTTATATATCAGATTATTTTTACACTGGCGGTATTAAGCGAGTTTGCGTAATCAGTTTTGCTTAATATCGGGTTCAACCTCCAAACAAAAAATGACCATTTCATAAAATGACAACTCAAGAAAAAGAGCAAAAAAGAAAAAGAACGATAAAAATTTTCGTTTCTAGAAACTTTCGTTTCTAGTGGTGTGGGAAGAAATTTTTTGAGCGGGCGGAGGCGAAGGTCGTTCGTTGTCTTCTTTAAGGTCGATCAAATTAACGTTCAGAGCTTATATAAAATTATCCAATTTAGGTTTTTGTGTTCTTCTAATTGAAAAAGCACACTTTAGAGATTCTCTCCTATTTTGTAATCTATCATACAACGTGAATAAGGGATGACAAGATCAAGAGACTGGGGCGGAAAGTGGAGGAGGTGAGGGGGGAGAATGTGCGACTGACCTTCGGGGAGGCCACTCGCAAGCCCATCAGGACCAGTCAGGACATGGAGCTGCAGAACAGGTAACAGAGCTAGTTTTGTGGGGCATCCAGGCAGTGATGGTGCCTTGGAATCGCATGATTGCGGGTTCGAATGCCACGTGTGTTGCACTGTTTTTTCTACATTTGAGCATTTTTAAGATAGCCAAAGCTTAGGTAACCTTGTAATCTTGTTTGTAATTGTTGGAATGAAGTAGTCCTATAACTTGTAATTTGATCTGTTAAGGAACGAGCATATCAGCAAACTACAACAGGACCTCGCTTTCCAGAAACAAGACGAGACCAACAAGGTCAAAAAAGTGCAGGACAAAGCTGCCATCAAACAGGTACTTTTTTCATCATTCTCATCATCATCACCATCATCATGCAATCTAAGGAGGATATTCATCGCCAAGATTGCAATAAGCTCAAGAAATTACTACAAAAAATGGCCAATTTAATCGATTTTTTTTTTTAAAAAAAATAAGGAAATGTTAAAGAAAAAATTAGTTTCTTCAGCTTTCCTTTTTGAATTTTTTTCTACGATGATCCAGCGTCTCTCTTCCGGAGTTTTCTAGGTACCGCAGTCAGTGTCATTTGACAAATGTGATGAAGAAAACTCTGGAAACAAATTGGCATATTACCTCTATTAAGCATCAGTTAATAAAAGTTAGAAGTCAAAACTCGATTAAATTTGTTGCCAGAGTGAGTTGCAGTCCCAACTGGAGAGAGTGCAGCGGGAGAGACAGGAGAGTGAAGGGAGGTGGAAGCAGAAGCTGGACATCACCTCCAAGAACCTCACTGCCAAACAGCACCAGCTGGATCTGGACAACAAACGGTCAGTCACGTGGTCATTCGTTTGAAAAGAAATTCGGGTTCAGATGCTGCTAAACTCAACTTGCTAAGCTATATTTCTATTACTGGCCACGGCCACTGACCATAAACTGATATGTTGTTAGCTCTTGCGCTATTGCTTCATAGATACAAAGTATATCGCAATGCTGGCCGGACAAATTCGAAACAGTAAAAATTAAACGATTTGTGTAGTTTGAAATTTTTCTAGATAAAATTTTATCAAAGCTCGATACCTGAGCCGAGTTGTCAAATATTGAATTATTCAGGTTGAAAGAAGAAATCCAACTGGCTAAAAAAGAGACCCTCGAAGCCGTTCAGTTGAAGGAACTTGAGCTGAAAGAACTAAAACAACTCCAGCAGGAGCAACTCGAAAGTCTAAGCACCGAATTCGAAGTAGCCAAAAGCAACTTCGCTTCAAATACCGAGCATGAAGCAGGTCAGAGGATCGAAAACTTGAAAGCCGAAAGCAAAACGTTACTAGCGGAAGCCAGAAAAAGACAAGCAACAATCGAGACTGAAAAAACTGCAATCGAGAAAAATCTGAACTCCCGCGTGATTAAACTAGACGAAATGCTGATGAAGAAAAACAGAGAAACTGAACAACTTTTGAGAGATTTGGACCAAAAGCGAGAAATTTTAGAAGAACAGCATCGATTGCTGAACAAAACCCAGACTGATTTCTACAACGCAAATCAAAGTCGCGCGGAAGAATTCGAGGCAAAATTAAGTTTTGAAAGGCAGAAGAAAGCTGAAGATTTGGAGGCGGCCAGGGAAAACTTCGTGAACATAATTGTCAGCAAAGATGAACTTATTTCAAAATTTGAGGCCGAAATTTTGAGTGTAAGGGTGGAAAAGGAGAACAATGAGAAAAAACTAACAGGTGTGCGTCTTTCTTTACAAATTTGTTTCAATTTTCTATAAAACAGAAACAAAAACTAGGTTTGAACCAGGATAGCCGGTTACTGTGCAAGTAGCACAGAATGTTCCGACCATAGTCTTAAAAAATGCAACAGAAAAGTTTTTTCAAATTATAGTCATTTTTTCTGCAGGGTGCGATAAAATGATCTGAACAAAAAACTAGAGCTTAAGCATATTCGACTGTCATAGATAAGTTTTTGGAAAACAAATTTTGTAAAAATGACAGGAAAAACAAAAAAATCAAAAACTTCCAAAAAAACTTTCAAAATTTTCAATTTTTTTTTGCAGTTTTTTTGAACTTTTGACATTTTGTTTCCAAAAAAGCGCTAAAATACTAAAAAGAAACTAACTTTAGTCGAATAGAATCAAGTTTTACCGCTTAATTAGGGCAACTGTAAGCTTTCAAGCTATAAAATAGACACCAGCATGTTCTCTTCACCGGGAAAGTTTTTTGAAAATTTTTTATGTTGTTCGAATTACGACTTAAAGGTCTTTAAAATGGTACATTACCAAGATCACTCCGATGATTATTTGTGGTAGCTGAGATGCGTGGAAAACAAAAAAAAACAAAAAAAGAATTAAAAAAAACAAACACACCCGAATAAAAAGTTGCTCACCATTTTTCAAATGGTGGAACATTTTTTTGCTGGTTAAAAAAAACTCAATTAGCAAAAATAGTTCATCAGGGAACTAGAGGAAAATAGGACTGAAGGATAGCGAATAGCGTGGAAAAGAAAATAATCATCGGAGAGATCTCTCTATTCGCTATCCTTCAGTCCTACTTTTTTCTTTCTTTTTGTGGCTGAAAACGGACTGGCATTTGTAACTGAATTTGACAGGAAAAGTCTGATGTACCGTAATGTGAAAGTCTGATGTACCGCAATGACTTTTTTCACTTCCCTCTTTTTCTCCACTGAGTGTATTGAAGCGCAATGTGTAATGTATTTCGAAGTTTTTCAACCTGGCTCAAGACTGTTTGTTGTTTTCTGCAACAGTTTTTCATCAAAATGAGTTTCATTTTGAAGAAAAAACATTTGAAAATTTTAGATGTTGTTTTTTTTTCTTTCAATTTGGTGGCTTTGTGTATTGCCTCTCTGTCAAAAACTTCATTTTTTCAAAAGTAATGAGCCAAATTGAACTTTTCTGTAACAATTGTTTTGGAAACTTCACATAAGCAGAATAGGACTGCAAAAAATACAGTTTTTTTTAAAATAATTTTTCTAATACCCAATGGGAAATTTAAAAAATAATATATCAGAGCTTATTAAGAAACAATTTGTATGAAACAAATTTCATTACTGTTATGAGACCAAACCGTAGAACATAAACCCGGAGCAAAAATAGGACTCGCTGATTATCTTTCAAGGCACCCGTGTTTAAATCCTCAACCGATTAGCACCTACGATAGTATGTTTACGGTCGCGAAAATTAGTAGAATTAGATCCGCCCTCGGATTTAGAAATAAACTCGAGTCTCCATCGGTAACTAAAAATAGACGCATTTGTAATATATCGAATAGAAAGCGACCGGTAGAGGGCGAGCGATCATGCGACGGAAATTGGACCAATCACAGAGCGACGAATTGCATTCCCGGCAGCTCAATTGAGTTTAGCAAAAATTCAGTTGGGACTATTATTGAAGCTAACTTTGGTTACTCAAAATCTTTAAACTCGCCAATAAACATTAACAATTCAAGCAATTTAATCATGGAAAGGAAACTCAAGAAATTATTGGAACGACACCCTAGCATTAGCAGTAGTGATGATATAGAGGAGATTGATGTAAATATACAGGCGGTAACAACAGAAGTCCGGAGCACGAAAACCAACACCATTATTTCTATTCCGTCGGTTTACCCTGGTGAGAGTTATCCACCGGTCAATCCGGAAAATAAAGTCATGTCTATTATACCAAGAAATTGTAAAGTAGTCAGCAAACAATCCGCTCTTCCCGAATTATTTTATCTTCGATTTATAGAATCGCAATACCAGTCTGATCCACAGTTACAAGCTATTATCGAGTTAATTAAATCTAAAGACCCCCAGTTACACTCGAAAATTGCAGCAATGAGTAAGTAATTCGCACAGTATACTCAGGATTTCCACGTAAGAGACGGATGCCTGTGGATGGACGAGAGGCTAGTGATCCCTAATACTTTGCAGACGGCGGTGGTCAATAGACTCCACTATTATCACCACGGGAAATCCAGCATGATCGACGCCGCTAAGGACATCTGGTACCCTCACATGTTTCGTAGTCTCGCAACTATCGCTGGGAATTGTCCGGAATGCACATTAGCGGGTAAAAATTTGAAAAAAATGTGTTCAAAGGACGATATAGGGAAAATACCTGAACCAAAAGAGCCGAATGAATCAGTCCAATTGGATTTTTGGGGACCCATTAACTACTTGAAGGAATCTAAAAAGTATGTTTTGGTGGCGGTGGACCGGTTCTCTCGATGGCCATCAGCTATGGTCTGTAATTCGAACCGTTCGGATAAAATTATAAAATTTTTAAAAGCCTACATAATCGCTCATGGAATTCCCCGCCAAATCAGAGTTGACCAGGGAACAAACTTTATGTCTAAGGAAGTTAAAACATTCTGTCATGAACAAGGAATTGAAGTCCTCATTTCGCCAGTGAATGACCATAGAGCAACAGGATGTGTTGAGCGCACGATTGGTAGCATTAAAAATTCAGTGCTGACGTATGCGCGGGAGGATAAACCGGAACCCTTGGATCGAATGGTTGAAAGAGCCCTCGGAGCCCTAAGATTTGTGAAAAACCCATCCCTCAATATAACACCGTTCGAAGCGCACCACGGCCGGGAAGCTAATACTGTCCTCAGGAACTTGACTAAAAAACCTACGTTACGGAATCTAAATTGGGAAAATGTAATACGATCGAAATATGAATGTTTAGATGAACGAGACCCGATAGCTCAAACAATGCCGAAGCCGATGGACACCAACTGGGGAATCCGATCGGATACTGAGTATGACCGGAAAAATAGACGGGGACCACTGAGATTGGCCGAGGAACAGGCAGCAAATCAAGATGATGAACCTGGGATTGCACGGGCACCAAATGACCCTGTGGAGGTACCACCGGCAGTGGTAATGCAGAGGACCGGGGAGCGAAATATGAATAGATATAGACCATTAAGGTCCAAAATAGTTGATCAAACTGAACATACTATTAAAATGAGTAACGGTGCGGTGCTTAGGAAATCAGGAGTAGCGCTCAGGAAGGCCAAAGTTCCTAAAAAGCGGATGCCGGGAGGACCATTACCCACACCGCCAACGCCGTGGGATCTGAAAAGGAAGCTCAAATTGAGACAACACCAACCGGGCAGCTCAAGAGGCACTAAAGAAAGTCAGCAAACGATCATGGGAAAGGGAGCAAAATTCCAAATTCTGGAATCCGCAGAAAATTCCGACTCAGAATCGGAGGACCAGTTACCACTGAGTACAACCATCCTAGTGGCGAAACCAACAAGAGGGCGAGAAAACGGTGGAGAAGATGGACAGGGACCATCTAGTGGGGGACGGGATCCAGTTCAACCAGAGGCCTTCGGGGTTCGTCCCAGTAATAAGGAGACGGAACAAGGAAACATGTTGGCAGGTGAAACAGGAATCCGGAATGACTGGGGGAGAACAAATACCGAAGGAGCCGAACCACAAGAAACAATTACCGAAGGAATCGAATCACAAGAAACGGAGCGCGAACCACAGCAGATATCAGTAACCGGGGGAAAGAAACGGGGCCGGAAACAACGACTTGTTTCCTATTCTAGCCAAGATTCGGCCAGCTCGTTGGATGAAACAAGCTCGAGACGTTCGGGCAGGAAGCGGACCGCAGTGACCAAGATGGGGGGGGTCATGATTGACAACATTAGAAAAACGGACAAAGCCGGAGCTATCGAAGAAAAAGAGTGAAAAGATGAGGAATAAAATGGAGCTCAAAACAATCTATAAAACTTTGCTAAAATGGAAAGGTCCAGGGAGAGGGCATGCTGTGTACCAGCAAAAACTCAAAAGTTTGTGTTTAAAAGAACTGTAGTTGATTTGAAAACTTGTTATTAACCCTATTGTTTACGGTTAACATTGGATATTGGATTTGAGTATTATTTATTACAAGGAGGGAAATGTCATAGTATCTAAATTTAGTTCATGTTTCAATTCTAGTCGTGTTATCTATTTCAATTATCTGTCTGGCGCTAACCGGTATTTAACCTTCGGAGTTTGTCTGTCACCTTCGGATGACAGCCATCTTATTGTCTCCGACTTACTTTCTGAACTACGGTTTGCTTATTAACAAGACATTTAATTCATACATCCAAACCGTCTTTTCACAGCTTATTAAGAAACAATTTGTATGAAACAAATTTCATTACTGTTATGAGACCAAACCGTGGATTTTTGGGTTGCAAGCGGATTTCACAACACGGTTGGACGAAGTTTTTTATGGAATCCATAACAAAGCTAGTTTTTTTTTGGTAAGTTTTTTTTCGCTCGTTGTAGATTCCACAAAACTCCAAATGTAGCAACAAATTTTGCGTTACAAGTGTTAATTTGTGGATTACGCAACAATTTGGTGAATAAAGTCAATCTACAACTAAGAAAAAGGTCAAATTTTAACCCGATTTTTGAAATTCAATACTAAATTTGAAATCTATGGTATCAATTATGCTGTCACCACCTTACAATAAACCAAAAATAATTGCAAATACAGTTGTGATTGAACTTTCCGTGCTATTTGCCCAATCGGCCATTTTGAAAAAACGCTTAATTTCAAGAGGCGAAACGTCGCGCAAAGGTTTCAGTTTTAAACGAAGTGATTTTTTTTCCTTTGAGACATTAGAAGTCATGATTCGGAGAATTTTTGAGAATTAGTATTACTCATTTGCGAATGTTTTAGACGAAGTCGAACAGTTGTCCTCAAAACTAGACCAAGTTCGAGAAGAACGAAAAACGGAAGTTGAATTGATCAAAAAACAAAACTCAGAGCAGTATGAAAACATGAGAATCGATCTGATCAAACAAATTGATAGCTTTAAACACGAACTAGAACAGACAAAACAGTATGCCGAAAAGGAAGAAAAATCCCACTCGGCCGAAATACAGTTAATGACCGATACTCACAAATCGCAATTGGATATTCTGAAACAAAGCATGTCAAAGGAAATAGACATTTTGAAACAACAGAATGTTAGAGAACGAACAGAATTAGAACAGCATTATCAACAAAAAGTAGATCAAATTTACAAGGAAAAAATGGAGTCTGAAAAAGTCAAAGAAGCTAGCCAGGCCGAATTAGAAAAACTTACAGTTTCGAAGAATATGTTTGAAAATATGAAAAATATCGAAATAAAGGGGCTAAAAGACCAACTTGAAACTATAAAACGTGAAAGAACGGAATCTGAAGCAGAATTTACTCGAAACCTGAATGAAAGAATCCAACAGAAGGACAAAATCTTGGCCGAATTGAAATCCGAAAACGAGAAAAGTGTAGCGCTGCTCCAAAAAAGTTTGGAAGAACAAAAATCAGAGTTCGAAAAAAAGCAGTTTGAAATGGAGCAGGTTGTAAAACAGGTGAAATTGGAGTTAGAATCTGTAAAAGCCGAAAGCGACACTATTTGTAAGCAAAAAGAGCGACAAATCGAAAAAATGGATATCGACTCGAAATTAAAACTGGAAACGGTCGAAAATGCTCACAAAACTGAAGTCGAAGATTTTAAAGTTAAATTAGCCCAGCTTGAAGAAATGTTGAATCATGCTCAAAAAATGTCCGACGCTGAAATTTTGAAGTTGAAGACTGAGTATGAAGCTACAAAGCAAAAATTGACCGAAGAAAAGAACTTCCTGATCGAAAAATACAGCCAAGAAGTTGACGAACTCAACCGAAATCATTTCGATATTGTTAGAGATTTACACCAAAAATACGACGAAGATTTAACTAAGCAAAGAAATGAAATTCACGACCGAGATTTGAAAATTAAAGATCTTGAAGAGCATGTTCGCATTCAAGACGAAAACCTAGCCGTACACGAGCGAAATTCAAAGTGCGAAGTAGAAATTTTGGAATCGAGGAAAAAAAGAGAAGTTAACAGTCTGCTGGAGGAAATTGCGACTAAAAACAAACATATAGACCTAATCACAACACTACACCAATCTGAGTTGAAGCAAAAAAGTGAAAAATTCAAACTTGAAACTGAAAGCTTAAAAGAGGAAATCGCTAATCTGGAGCTGGAAAGTCTGAATAAACTGGGCGAAATAACCCAAAAACACATTGCAGAACTGAATTCGAAAGATGAAAGTATAGCTCAGCTGAAGTTGATGATGAAAGAAGTGAACAGCGAAAAGGAGCGTGAAATATCTGCATGGAGTGTGAAATTTATGATGCAGCGTGAAGAATGGTGTGCGAACGTGAATGAACTGAATCATCAGCACTTAATCGATCTCAAGGTCAGTTGAAAACGAATAAGAAAAAAAGAACGTATCAATTTTCTACCTAAATCAAGGCTAAAAGTGGCTAAAAAGGCTGATGTGTAAGGATCTAGACGAGCGTAAAGCAAAGAAAAGTACAGCAGTTTCTCAGATAACAAAATTTTCACCATTTAGCAAAGACAATGTTTTTTGTTTCGTGGCGTTGTTCCCATTCTTTCGTGGCGTTGTTCCCAAACTGATCAGACAGAAAAATTGAAGGATTTGGAAATATCTAGGAATTTTTTTAATCCTCCGGAAGTTCGTCGGAAGTTTTCCTTGTTCAAGAACAGTCTTTCTCAAATGAAATAACCGGTTTATATGCAGGTGAAACAGGAGGAGATTGAGGGTCTGAACGAGAGAGTGAAGGAGATGATGACGTCACACGATGAGGAGGTGGAGAGACTGAACAAAGTGGTGGAACACTACAGGGAGGACTTCGAACAGGAGAAACAAGACATGGACAGGTGTGTATTGATGGTTATGCCGACAATAGACAACCCGCACTGGAGTTCCATTGATGGAAGTCGGTTAAATTTGTATGAGTTTTTGAGTTTTATTGTCAGCGTCTATAAAAGTGAAAATTAATTGGTCATAAACAAATAAAAATGGGTTTTATTGCAAATACTACTTATAATAAAACATGAAAATTCCTAGCAAATCAATTATAATCGATTTTTTTTTCATTTTTATAGTTAGAGTCAATGAAACTCCATTAGAAATGATTTGTTCCCGCTTTTTTGAGATGCTAATTTCAGCGCACACAAAGTCGTGTTCATCTGTTGTTCAATTTCAGTTTTTTTTCTGCGCAACTTTGATTTTTGCTACTCATTTTATGTTATTGAATTATGTTGTTTTCAACCGTTTTCTGGATTTTGTTTCAAAATTATGGAAGAAGGGGTATTTCGAGAGCAAGCAAGCGCTAAAAATGGCATTTTTTTGTCAAAACTTTCCAAAAAAGGGGTCAACAATGGCTTTTTCAATCTTTTCTTTTTTTTAAATTAACACGATGTTGGAAGAGATATAATTTTGAACTTCTTTGTATATATTTAAAAAAAAAAAAAAAAATTGTTGTCTTAACGCTTTCATCAGGATGCGGGGGGGGGGGGGGGGTTCGAGGTGTCACATTTTATTCGAGAGGAGCTTTGGTTCTGGTGGAGGTGGCGGGGGTAAGGTGGAAAGAGGCAAACGTTTTTTTTTGGTGGGGGGGGGGGGGGGGGGGTGGGTAAAGAGGCAAATTGGCAAAAGTGGGGGTAGGTGTGTAAATAGAATTGTTTTGCAATGTGCAAAAATTTAGATTTAGGACATAAATTTGATAAAAGCAGAAATTTTTGCAACATTTTACAGGACGCGAAACAAAAACAAAGTGGAAAAAATCCACTTTAATTGATTTTAAGTGGATTATAATTAATCATACATAAATTTGATAAAAACAATGAATTATAATCGTTCTTTTTTCCTCTTTTGTTGTCAGAGTGCAACATGGGAATTGATTATTTCATTAATGTTTTAGAACACAAAATTCATTATAATGATTACTTTTCACTTTTCTTAGACACTTCTTAGATCGCGCGAAGAATTACTAGGCTCCTCAATTTCGGAGAAAAACTCAAACAAAACTTTTTAAGTTATCAAGGTCGGTGCTATTTTAGGGTCGGTGCTATTTTTAGGGTCGGTGCTGTTTTTGGTCAAGATACAGGGCAAAAAATGCCCAGCAAAACTTAAAAAAACAAAACTTAAAAAATTTCGCGAAACTTTAAAATTCTTTCATAACTCTGAGATACATAGGCAGTGTTTCTAATTACGATAGTAAACAATTTCATACTTAAGATAAAACCGGGGGTTGAGAAATTAGACGATAAGCAAATTAGACGGAGGTACTTAAAAGGAAATTAGACGGCTTTGCAAAACTGCAATTGTGAGAAAAGAGACGAAAGTGAGAGAAATTAACTTTATTTGCACACAAATTGCGTTAGAAAAATAAAATTGTTTGTAGACAACAGTTCAATTTCGGTGGCCAAAACTTTACAAGTCAATCATGCATAATTTATTCAATTCAAAACTCTCCTGTAATATTCAGATTTGACATTTTATGTTCATTTAAACTAATTGTTTTGATAGGTATTGACATTTTATGTTCTTTTTGTATTTTTGAAACTTGACTCTTAAGAAACATTTGTGTTGGCCCTTTCCCTTTCGTCTAAATTGCCAGATCTGTAAAAAATAAATTCCGTCTAATTTCGTTTTTGTAGCATCCGTCTAATTTGTTTATCGTCTAATTTCCTAGGCCCTATAAAACTACCTGTAACTGTTTGTTTATTACTCTAGATGCTTATTGCTTTATTTTGGATGCAAAATAAAGCAACAAGCAGCCATTTAGTTTGACAGAATAACAAAAAATTTTAAATTTTCAGTGATAACTTAAGCTATCCGAACAAAAAAAAACAAATTAGAAAACCCTAGAGGCCTCATTTTCAAATCGGTTTGGCCTGAGACAAAATTTATGGGAATGATAGTTGCTATTAACTCTATCATAATTAATTTTATCATATTATATTGAATTTTACATCAAAAAAATATGCAATTTTTTGAAAAGATTATATCTGTTTCATCAGATTTTGTGTTTTCATCGGTAGAAATGTTGTTGTTTATATTTTTGATAAAAACACCAATGAATAACACGTTTAATAATGCTCTTTTTTCTAGGCAAAATAGATAATAACAATTTTACAACTATTGTTTTTTTGTTTTAACTGAAAATTTTTTTTCAACTTACTGACCTTTTAAGATTCAATAAATATTCGACGAGAAATTAAATTAAGAAAATAGTTTTTTTTTCTGATTAGAACTGACCAACATTGCTTAGTTTTTTTTGTCAAACACTGAGTGAATGAACTTTGTCCCTGCACTATTCAATCATTTCAGAAAAAACTCAAGTCTGAAATACAGTTTAACTTCTTTATATTTTTGTCAGAATTTGTTAGGTGGAAGTCTGACTACCTAATGGGTCTCTGCTCCTCTTCACAATGTGAGAAAAACTATCAACCTAGAAAAACAAGTTAGAACCGCGTGTCAGAGTAGTATAGCGTTTCGAGAAAGTATAGTTAGTAACGTTTTTCATTCAAAAAATGGTTATTTTGAACTATGAAAAAAAAACATTTTAGCAAAAAAAAATTGTTATTCAAAATTCATATAGCGCCTCGCTCTTCAAAATCGTGAAAGTTAATAGAGCAATGCATGAAAAAATAATTTATTTATGTAAGACGAATCTTATCAATTGAGGCCAGTGGATAGATTTTAGCGCTTTTCAGGTCCTATCCCCACACCGCTCACAGAAATACGACATATATTTGAAAAATAGGAAAATTAATTTATTATTTTTTAAAAAACTGTGATTCGGAACCTTTTTTGCTAATTGCACAGCAAACTACTACTCTTGATCAATATTGTCTAAAAAACGAAATCAAAGAAATTTGGACAAAAATTTGCATTTGTTTTCAATTTGAACTATTTCTTTTTATTATCTTTTAATTTTTTCAAAATCAATTTGATCAAAAAATTCGGTGCTGTGGGTGCAGTAGCCGGCTATCCTTGCCTATTTTGTTTATTGCGCTGACCTTTTTCATGGACACACCTCATAACTTTTTCGTTTAATATTGGACTGACCCGATTTTGACGAACATGAAAAAGCGAAACAAAAATCGTAAAAAGTTTTGAAAAAAAATGATTTTAGATTCCGAGAAGACCTGCGAGAAGAAAAAGCGACCGAAATGAGACGTCTCACTGACCACATTGCAGATCTAAACGACCAGAAAACTTCTCTGCGTGAAGAGATGCTCAACTTGGAAAACCAGCTGGAGGAGAAGTTCTTCCAGGAGATGACAGTGCTGAAGAGTAACTTCAACGGTGCCAGGGTGGAGTTGGAGCAGAGGATAGATGAGGGACAGGTGGCACTCCAGAACATGACTCACGAGAGGGACATGCACATTCAGGTACCACTTAAAGTCAGACCAATATCACCCATAGTAAACAATATCACACCCCCCAGTGGCTGTAGGGGGTATGAGATTGTTCACTTGGTCATTGTGGGGAGATTGTTGACTCTGGCCACAATGTAAGTCAGATAAACATCACCGAGTATCACACGACTGATATGGCTGCAAAGTTTGTCCGGAAACTAAAAAGTTAACGGAATTTAACCATGAAAATAATTGAACTTCCAGGTTTTTTTTATAGCATTTAACATCTGGTACCGCTCTTAGAAATGATTTTTGTCAAATAGGGTCTACTAGAAAAAACTTCAGTTTGTGAATGAGTGAATGCGACCTAGTTTGCTGAAAATAACATAAATTTTTTTTTAAATAGTTTTTCTGCAGTTGAAATCAGTATTTTTTAAGGTATCATACGGCGCTGCTTTCATATAAAATCATCAGTGCTTTCGTTAAAAATCGATGTTGTGTTTTCAGGAGGGTGTGAACAAAGACAAACGCATAAGCGTCCTGGAAGGCGACTTAGCTCGACTGAAACAAGACCTCGAAAACAAGATCAACGAGATGAGCAGAGAAGTTGCGAGACTGAACGAGGAAAAACGGGTCTTGTTCGAACAACACCAAAAAGCGATGGATGATTTGTTGGAAGAAAAGCGTCAGATGGAAATTGCAAAAGACAAAGAACTTCAGGAAACAAAAATAAAAATGACCGAGGAGATGAAAAAAATGAAAGCGGAACTGACTGCAAAAATAAACCAACTTGAAGAAACAAGAGCAAGTTTGGACCTCGAAATCAAAGATTTGAAGCAGAAATTCACTGCGATGGTTGAAGAAAAAGATAACGAGTTGGCTAAGTTTACAAAACAAATTAACGAAAAACATCAAAATGAAATGAACAATTTGAACAAACAGCACTCCGAAATTTTGAACAAAAAAGATGCGGCAATTGAATTGTTGAACGAAGATATGAAAGGGCAAAAAACTGAATTCGAAGAGCATTTGTCGATACAGAAATTGAATTTTGAAAAAGTTATGAAGGAAAATCAAGATTTCATTGAAACTCTACAAGAGAAACATAGCCTTGTGTGCAAAGACAACGAAGAACATATTGAAAGTCTCAAAGTAAACCTTCAAGAAAAAGAGGAAAACTATGGAAAACTGTTAAATGAACACGAAGCAGAGCTAAAAACTAAGGTTGATCAAATTAAGACCTTGGAAATAAATTTGAACCAAACAGTTGAAAAGTTGACGGCTGCTGAGACAAAAGCGAAAATGGCGGAATCGAAGCAAGAAGAATTGAGAAATATCGAAGAGCAGTTGAAAGCTAAACATGTGGAGATTGGAAAATTGTCGGCGTCTATTAAGAGCATGCAACTTTCTGAGAAAGGTGTGTATTTTTTTTAAAAAAGCTTCAAGAAACAAACGTGCGTTAAGCAATTACTTAGTGTATCAAAGTAATTCTGACAAAAGAATAGGGCTCTTCTACCGTTTCGGCCCTATCTGCGTTTTTTAATTTTTTAACTTTTGTTAGATTAGTAACGATTACTCATTACAAACTTTTTTTATCTTCATATACAACTTCGTATAATAAACAGTTTCAGATTAATGTTTTCATCTGGTGGTAAGGGTGGGTAGGGATGGGAAGAGCCAAGAATAGATAGCTCTACTAGCTTAAGAAACGATAGTAGATCATCTACAAGAATACGGCTTATAGATTGCATAAAAGACAAAATATCTCTGTTTCGAAACAAAGTTCATTCCTTGTAATCCTTGTTGATTTTTTCAGACCATTTGAGCAGATTGGACGAACAGGAGAAGCAACTTGTGAGTGTGAACTCAAAAGCGAGTGGATTAGAGAGCCAGCTGAGAGAAGCTGAAGGTCAACTGAAGTCGATGAAGAAGACTGTCGAGGCACTCCAGACTGACATTGGGGTCAAGGACGCCAAAATAGGTAAATGTAGTCACCAGCAGGCATTTGGGCTGCTAACTTTTTGCAAATGAAACAGCTTTTGAAAATGACCCGAAAATATAAATCTACTAGTCACAAAATATTAATATAAATCTATCAAATAATCTCACTGAATTCGAGATGTTGATTTTCTGGTTGTTTTTCTTGTATATTGGATTTCTTCTGTAAATTGTTAATTTTTCAAGAGGCAAGTTGTTCCAAAGAACAAATCTAAGGAAGACTTTGTTTTTCAAGTGTCGATTTTGACAACTAAATTTTTTTGCTTTAAAGCTGAATGTTCCCTCTAAACATGTATACACAGTAGTTTTTTTCTTTCTTTAGTTTTTATGAAATGGGTCGAGTGACATCATTCAAAAATTCTTTTCAGTCATGATCTCAGAGATTTTTTTGCCGAATTGTAATTTGGAGCGATTAAAGCAACTAGCTCGTAATTAAGCTAATATTTGGTTTTTAGAAGTTAAATACTTAGTTTTTAGCTGCACAAGATTTGTTGCGCTTAATATAGCGCTTCACCAGCGGCAAGAATAGCACAAACGTTTTAAAATGATCCTGAAACATTGAAGAAGAAAATATAATTTTTTGAAAATTTTTTGAGTAAGTTTTCCTATTTTACGCCCGAAAAGAGACTTGTATTTCAAAACATAATTGTAGGTGGAGTTTTGCAGCTAATACGTGTTCCCATTTTAAAAGTTTTAATTTTTCGCACACGCTAAGCTTTCCCGAGCTGACCACGAATGCTTGTCATACAATAATCATATATCGAAAAATGTTTATCATCAAATTTCGTACAGAAATTTGTAAGAAAACTCTACGATAAGCGTTTTTCATAAACAAAAATTAAATGACAAGCATTTTTTCACAAATCAAAAAGTTTTTTTTTCTAGTTTTGCTAAATATTTTTGTGTTTTGACTAACAACACTATAACCAAGGATTTTCGAACACAAGAAACACACTTGCGTGAAGGGAAGAAATTCCATAAATTCCCGGCGTTTGAGTAATAACTGTGAGCTTTTCTTATACAGATTACTCAGATCTATGAACAAAAGCCTCCAAATTTTGTGTAGGGCCTGAAAATTTTCAGCCAAAAATTTTACTAGTCGAAAATTGTGGCCTTATTTTTTTTGACATATTGAAGTGTATCTTATAGTATTTAAAATTTAAAAACATTTAAAATTTCAAAGTTCAATTTGCACAAAAATATCAAGGCAATTTGGTTTCTTTGGTATGAAAAATTCAGCCAGGACTATGTTATAGACAAAAGGAGTAAATTTTTGCGTGCAACTATTTTTTGCGAAAAATGCTCATTTAACCATTAAATTGGTTTTGCAACTGAAAAATGAAAAAAAATCCTTGAAATTGTTTTTTTTTAACTTCAACAATTTTTTATGCAGCACTGTAAAAAAAAGCTTGCCATACAATTTTCATGTATGGAAATTGAATGGTGAACAGTTTTCTCTTACTCTCTCCAAAAAAAAGACTAAAAAAGAAGACAGCTCCAATATAAGCCACTAAGGTATATGCAGGGACCCATCTAAAAAATTTTTGAGAAACGAGATGGTGGATAATCAAAAAATTTGGCGAAATTTCATTCAAGTCGACTGAATTGATATCTCGAGCTCTCTAAAATTACCTGTAAGACAATATTTTGACAACTTTTTCTGCGCCGCAGCCAATATTTGAAAAATGCAAGACTTCTCGTAAAAGGGCGGAGCACTGAATGTTCCAACTGACCTTTAAGGTTGATGGAGTAGTGTTTATTTTAATCAAATAGCACAATTTTTAAAAAAATGAAACAAATTTTTGAGATTTTTTTGAAAATTATTCCCTCACACGCTATGTTGTAATACAAATTGATTTATTTCGCACATAGCAAAGTATTAATTAAACTTATCACAGGTGGATTATATATTTTTTAATTTGAGCACAAAACAGCCATTACTTTTGCAATAATATAAAGTGTTTTCAAAAATTGATAGTTAAAGAGTCGAAAATTGTTTGGAGAAAATAAAACCACCCAGAGCACAAATATTCAATCACTTTCTTCACAAGTCAAAATTGATCTGCCATAATCCTTCTCCGCGTAATCTACACCTGTAGAATGTTTTATTTACTATTTCAAGTTTTCGGCAACTTCCCAAATGGTGTAAAAAGGCAATTTTTCGCAAATGGCTTATAATTCAAGTTTTTAAAAGTTTTTGAAAGTTTTTTTGAAATTAGAAGTTTAATCAACAATTTAATTCACATAGGAACCTAACTACTTTTGATGCCTTGTTCATAAAAAAGGTTTTCTCGAAATGTTTCATCAATGCAATTGTTATTTTGAATTTACGCCATATGCGAAACTTTTCAATTTTATGTCATTTGGGACGCGGCATGTTAATTAAAAATACATCAGATCATCATAAGCTAAAAGTCCAAAACTGTTTTCAACACTAACTTAGTCGTGAGCAGCTTTTAATTTACAGGGGAGAGCCACCAACTAGCCCAACAGGAGAGATACACGCGAGAGGCGAAGGAGAAGAAGGTGGAGGAGCTGAGCACTAAGGTGACCTTGTTGACCTCTGACCTGAAGAAGAAGGAGGACTACGCGTCCGTGCTGCAGAAAAAAGTGGACGACTTGTCCCACGCTGTGAGTTTTCATAATCTTTTTTAATACTAGATAACTTTATAAATCTACATTTTTCAGTGACAATCGCTCATAATTATATTTTAAAAGGAAACTGAGCTTTAGTGAGTTGATAAAGAAAAATTGTTCACTGTCTTTATAAAATGAGACGAAATTTGACTCGTTGTCATTTGCGCAAAAAAAATTAGCTTCCCAATTTGGTTGCATCTTATCATTTATGGTACTCGCTTCCCGAAAAACTAGTTCAATTTTGATTCGAAATTTTAACGCGTTACAAAACTGAAAACAAAAAAATTAGCGTTAGAAATATTTGCTAGGTAACCCAAATATCTGAGTTATTTTGGAGCTATGTGAGTTTGCAGGCATATCCAAGCAATTCTGTTAGTAGTCGTGACTACGAATATGGTCGTAGCAGGTCACGACATTCGTCGGCAACTTTAGACCAGGTATACTTTGTTCAAAACACGCTTCATAAACTCACCAAACATAGTTGTGTTTCCTACATATTTTGGCAGCACTCTTCTTAGCTTTCCTACACTTAATTTTCCCCTGGACTGATTAATATTTCCCCTTGTGTGAAATCTATTGTTTTAATACACGTTTTGTTCCCAGTTTTTTTGAAAAAATAGTTGAATTCTTTAAGTTAAATAATAACGAAGCTTCCAGATCATATTCCTTTATTGATTTCGCTTATCAACTCGTTTGTATCCAAATGATAAAAAAATGTTGATGTCGGCAAAATCTTCGTAAAGCCTGACGCGAAAGTTTATTTTGCTGTTTCTCTAACAAAAAACATAAAGATATGAGGCCGAAAGTTTGTGATTGAATTTCCTCGAAACATTTCACAATTATCATTGCTGCAAGAAAAACTTTAAAAAAGCAATAACAATTCGAAAAATTAAAAAATTTAGTAGTATGAGCTTTTTCTAACGTAAAAGGATTACTCCACAGAATAAATATGCTTTTAAACATATGTGCTTTTAAACATGAACATTACGTTAAAACTACCAGGTTAGTTGCTGAGAAAACTCTATCAAATTGAGCTTCGCATGTAGTCGAATAAATCCTAATGAGTTCGTAACCAAAATTTGGCGTAATACGTTTAAAATAATCCCTATTTAAAAAAAGTTTTAATTAGTCAACTGAGATTTGCTGGCTATCAAAAAATAGGCTCACATTAATAAAAATTTTTCAACAAATGACAAATGACCAAATACTTTTATCAAAAATTTTCAATGACTAGAAATGGCCAAATGTTAGGGTAAAAACATGGGCCCAAATTGCGCAAAGTAGGTTTGAACATATTATTCCTAGTAAAATTCTAAGATTTTTTGTCACTTTTCGTTAATGTCAACCCAATTTCTAGAAAGTAAGCATTCAAAGTATTAATTTTAATTTTTTTTCTAATGACACAACTTTCATAGTTAAACAAGCAGCACAGAAACGTTCCAACCAAATTCTTTAAAAAAAATTCAATTTAGTGTCATTTTTCCGGTGTGGTTTGATAAAAACATTTTTGAATTTTGATTTGACTTTTTTTGAATTTTTGAAGTTTTTGATTCCAAAATGGCCCTAAAATACTCAAAAAAAACAGCGTTACTCGATTAAAACTAAATTAAAAAAGCTATTGCAAGCTTATAATAAGTTAAGCTATAACATATATTAATCAACTCTCTCTAATGATTATTTGTGGTTGCTGATTTTGCGTGGAAAAAAAAACTAAACACACCCGAATACAAAGTTCCTCCCCGTTTTTCAAATGGTCGGAACAAAAATTTTTTGCCTTGCTATTCAATTTTAAATGCAGAGAAAAATGCATAAAAATCTGTATTATGAACATACATAAAAATTGTATGACTATCATTTTCTCCATAAATTAGTAACAATTTTGTTTTGAGGATCTTTTTTTGTGTTTTGACCAAAAACACAAGCACGGAGGATTTTATCGGTAAAATGAAAAAAATTGGGTTTTGGTGACAATGATCTGCATTAAATTTGCAATTTGTTTTTTGCAGTATGTGTTAATGTTTTAAATATCACTCCGAGTTATAACTGAAAACCACTATTGCTTATATATGGCTAGAGAGCATTCACTTCAAAAAATAGTTTGATTGAAAACCATGGCATCTTTTTTTTGAAAGACTAAAGCTTATCTTGCTATGAAAAAAGCACCATAATTTTTTTTGGACTACTTTAAGCAAGCTGTTTGTAACCAAGTAAAAAATGCTTACAAACAGTTTATCTTGCTATGAAAAACGCGCCATAATTTTTTTTGGACTACTTTAAGCAAGCTGTTTGTAACCAAGTAAAAATGCTTATCCTTCATTTTTCATATATGTATGGAACTGTATGAATTTTGTTTTGCTTATGAACGTCAACTTGATTTTATTTAATTAAGCAATGGTATATGAATTTTAATTGAGCTAAAATTTTAAAGATTTTAAATTACTATCTTTCTCCACACCTAAAACCAAACGTTAAAAACTTTGTTGAGAAGTTTATATGAGATCAATTTTTTTCCGTTTTATGTGCTTTTTGCATGAATTTGTGACCAAAAACACAAGCACGGAGGATTTTATCGGTAAAATGAAAAAAATTGAGTTTTGGTGACAATGATCTGCATTAAATTTGCAATTTGTTTTTTGCAGTATGTGTTAATGTTTTAAATATCACTCCGAGTTATAACTGAAAACCACTATTGCTTATATATGGCTAGAGAGCATTCACTTCAAAAAATAGTTTGATTGAAAACCATGGCATCTTTTTTTTGAAAGACTAAAGCTTATCTTGCTATGAAAAAAGCACCATAATTTTTTTTGGACTACTTTAAGCAAGCTGTTTGTAACCAAGTAAAAAATGCTTACAAACAGTTTATCTTGCTATGAAAAACGCGCCATAATTTTTTTTGGACTACTTTAAGCAAGCTGTTTGTAACCAAGTAAAAATGCTTGTCCTTCATTTTTCATATATGTATGGAACTGTATGAATTTTGTTTTGCTTATGAACGTCAACTTGATTTTATTTAATTAAGCAATGGTATATGAATTTTAATTGAGCTAAAATTTTAAAGATTTTAAATTACTATCTTTCTCCACACCTAAAACCAAACGTTAAAAACTTTGTTGAGAAGTTTATATGAGATCAATTTTTTTCCGTTTTATGTGCTTTTTGCATGAATTTGTGGCCTATAAATACCAACAGGATGTTCAAAATTACCACAACTTTTGATTTTTCCAAGTAGCATATGAATCATTTTCTGCATTTTGGAAAATGCTTGTGAATTTTTTTTACTCTTGCGAATCAAAGTGTATTAGTGTGAATTTTCTTTTTTTTCCGACCAAAGTCGCAAATAAAAGTGCTAATTTTAGTGGTACTTTAGAATCGGTAGGCTGCTTTATCAGTATAATACTATATGTGCTTTGACATTTCATCAAATGAACCGTATTGTTAATTCATCAAATGAACCGAAAAAAGTTATTTGTTTCAAACAACAGTACAGTTATAAAAAACTCGATTTCAAAAATTTTCGAACTTAATATATCACGCAATTTTTTTTGAAACGCTTTTTTTTATACATGACTTAGCTTTATGCTTTCCTAATTTTTACATGCAAAATTGTTTCGTTTTGCATTTGGTGCTTCTTTTGCTGCAAGGAATTGGCAATTTATTAGCATATGTAGCAGCATTATCGGTAGCTAGTTTTTGGGGATATTAAGCAAACGTGGCTGAGTGGTTAGTGTGTGGGACTCAAATTTGCTCTGTTATAGATTAGAATCTGACACGTAGGCGAGTTTTTGCTAATTCGAGGCTTATTTCTACTTTTTTTTTCTTATTTCACTTGATAGAGCTGATCTTTGGTCGTGTTCGCTCAAATGTTTGCGAAGCGCAGCTTCGCCTCTGTGTAAATTAGTGTTTTGACATAATGTCGGAAGTTTCATCATTCAGAAACATTTTATGGACAATGGTACAAGACAATGGCTATATGACTGTGCTGGCGAAAACTATGCACAGTAGAAAAAATCCATTCGGTTAGAAAAAAACAAGTTCAAATTATCGACAATTTTTTGTTCGCTGAAGTTTTCCAAACACATATTTACTGGTCAATTTTTATAATTAGCCAGAAAACGTAAGTTGAAGTCTTTTTTTTATTAAGTTAAGAATTGTTGAAGTATTTATCAGTGTGTTAGAATTCGGATGTTGGATTAATTCTCGACATCGGAAATTTTTTTTCGGCTAGCTTATGAATGGTCTTTTATGTTACTTTTTGCGTCAAAATGTCAACCATATATGACCAAATGGAAGAAAAGTGATGTGATCCCGATGAAATTTTCCCGATGAAATTTCCCCGATGAAATTTTGCATAATTTTCAATCCGGTTTTTCAAAGAGTGGCTTTGAATATCTAACAGTTTTACTTCAGTTTTCTTTCAGTTTTTTTTTTAGTTTTCTCCCTTTTTTGTGCAGAAGTTTTATAATTCCACGGCGAATAATGTGTTTTCTTTTCGCCGTAGGGTGCCAGCCTTCCTCCCACCGGCTCCAGAAGATCTTCAGCAGTGGGCGCTTCCCCAAGTTCGACCTACTCTTCGGCATCTTCATCCTTAACCCCCATTGGTCAGTCTCCTTCCGCTACCAAATGGGCCAACCTGAAAAGTGAGGTGAAAACGAAGTCAGCGGTACTAAACAAATCAACAACTGGGGGAATATGATCAGCTCAAAGCCAAAATCAGCGTCACTTGGACTGATTTTAAGAATGAATTTTTTGCTCATCAATCTTCAAGCAATTACTACTAATTTCTTTTTTTGTACCCTCTTTCGTGTGAATTCAAATTAAATCTTAATCAGCGTCTTGATCCTCAAAGAGGGAGTTTTGTTTTGCAAAAAAATGAGGCACGAGTAAAGAATCTTGCTATTTTTGCAGCATATTCTTTTAAAAGAGTGCTACTATTAGATTGCTCTGCAAATTAACACAGTGTTCCAATGAAACTTGTGAGGTTTTGCAAAAA